ATCGGATGTGAGGACAAAATTATACCCTCTACCTTTATGGGACTGGAAGAGTTCGTTGAAGAAGTATAAATTTTAAGAATGACGTAAGTCAGGCTAGAGAGATGGCCCAGTGGTTAAGAGCACATACTGTTCTTCCAGAAGATCTGAGTTTAACTCCCAGCACCATGTGACTCACAACTGCCTGTAACTCCAGTTCCAGGGGATCTGAGGTCTCTTGTGTGCATACCCACGCAGAGATTATTAACACAGACCCATCATTAAAAACAAAACAAGTGTTGTTTTGTTTTGTTTTTCAAGGCAGGTTTTTCTCTGTGTAGCTCTGGATGTCCTGAAATTAGCTCTGTAGAACATGCTAGCCTCAAACTCAGATCTCCCTGCCTCCTGAGTGCTGGAATTAAAGGAGTGCTCCACCAGATCTGGCAAAACAAATCTTTCAAAAAAACTAACATTAAGTCATAAAGAATGATTGGAGGGGGATCAGCAGGTTAGGAGAATGTAAACATCATCAGCTTCAGGGTTCGTATCTAAGAGGTTCATATGAAGTAACAAAGGAATAGAGAAGGAAATTCATCTTTGGATCCCAAGCACTGTGACATACTCTGTCCACGAGCTTATTTAGTCCGTACAGTTTTCTTCCTAAAAGATAGAGATGTTGTTATATGCATATTACATTATGAAAAGTGGATGCTAGAGTAGGATCAGCTCCACAGTGAAGACTGAAGAGACTACACACAGCAGAATGCTCAGCTCATATGCAGTGCCAGACACACACCAGACAGCTATGGTGCTAGTTACACCCACTTTTCAAAAAAATATTTTAAAGTTTTTTTTTTTTTTTTGGTTTTTCGAGACAGGGTTTCTCTGTGGCTTTGGAGCTCGTCCTGGAACTAGCTCTGTAGACCAGGCTGGTCTCGAACTCACAGAGATCCGCCTGCCTCTGCCTCCCGAGTGCTGGGATTTAAAGTTTTATTTATTTATTTATTTTTTTTACATGTATGGGTGTTTTGTGTGCATGCGTCTGTGTGTCATGAACATGCAGTACTTGCAGAGGTCAGAGCATAGTCTTAGATCCCTTGGAAATGGAGTTACTCACGGTTATGAGTGGCCATGAGGGTATTGAGAATTGAACCTGGGTCCTCTGGAAGAGCAGCCAGTGCTCTTAACTGCTGAGATATCTCTACTGCTCCTAGTTACATCATTTTAATAGATAAGTTAAAAGTTCCTACAGTCGGATTGTGTCTGGGATGAACCAAGACCCTTATGAATAGAAGTGAGATCCAAACCAATAGTTCTGACTCATGGTTACCTCAACACATCCTTTTGTAAAGCCTTACAAGAACTAAAATGGCAGCTGGGCGGTGGTGGTGCATGCCTTTAATCCCAGCACTCGGGAAGCAGAGGCAGGTGGATCTCTGTGAGTTCGAGGCCAGCCTGGTCTACAAGAGCTAGTGCCAGGACAGGCTCCAAAGCTACAGAGAAACCCTGTCTCGAAAAAACTAAAAAAAAAAAAAATGTAAAAGTAAAACTTGCTTTGTTTTTATTTTCTATTTATGTGTATGTGTCTGTGAGAATGTAGTTACAAATGAGTACAGTACCCACAGAAGCAAGAAGATAGCATTGAATCCCCTGGAGATAGAGTTACACGCAGTTGTAAGCTGAACAATATAGGTGCTGGGAGCCAAATTTGTGTCCTTAGAAGAGTAGCAAGTGCTGCAAACTTGATGAACCATTTCTCCAGCCCCTTCATTGTTCTTACATTTATTTTTACTTATCTAGGGAGGCTCAGTCTTATACCACGACATTTATACAGGGGTGAAAGGAATTGTGGGAATCAGTTCTCTTCCACCATGTAAATTCCAGGGATTGAATTCAGGAGCCTTCTTGCATGGCAGTCGGTACCTTCACCTGCTAAGCCATCTAATTGGCCTGAGAATATACAAAGAACTCTTAAACTCAAATTACAAAATGCACTAGAGAAATCCTTAAACAAACCAAGGGTTTCAGCAGACATAGCAGCAAAGAAGACACACGCTGGCCAGGGGACCCCTGAAAAGATAAAGCTACTCAGCCTTGCTAGTTACCAGGAGAAGGCAAAGCAAAGCCACCATCAGCCTTCGCTTCATACTCACTGGGATGGCTGAAAGAAAAACAACAAAAAAACACATTCTGGCAAAACAAATTCTTGTTTGCATTGAAAGGGGGAACATAAAATGTAGCTACTTTGGAAAACAGTTTGGCAATTCAACAAAATGTTAAGCAAGGGATGGCCATGAGCTCAGAGGTAAAGCTCTTGCTGTCTGTCTGAGAGACGTGAAATCCTGTGTCCACACAGCGTGGACAGCTCATTCATAAAGCCACAATAGAAATATTCAGAAATAGGCTCAGTGATTAAGAGCACCGCCTGCTCTTCCAAAGGTCCTGAGTTCAATTCCCAGCAACCACATGGTGGCTCACAACCATCTGTAATGAGGTCTGGTGCCCTCTTCTGGCCTGCAGGCAGAGTACTGAGAATACTGTATACATAATAGATAAATAAATCTTTAAAAAAAAAAAAACTCAGCTAAAGAGCCTAAGAATCGGTTTTTACCAGAGAGAGGCACTAAAAAAAAAAAAAAAAGAAAGAAAGAAAGAAAGAAAAAGAAAAAGAAATACTCAGAAATAGACCAGGTATGATCGCTCATGCCTTTAATCTCAGCACTCCAGAGGCAGAGGCAGGTGGATCTCTGTGAGTTCAAGATCAGCCTGGTCACAAAACAAGTTCCAGTACAGCCAAGCTTGTTACACAGAGAACCCTGTCTTGAAAAGCCAAAACAGAAAGAGAAGTAGTCAGAACTGGATAGACAAAAAGGTCCTATGTTTATACAATAGAACATAGGTAGGCAATAAAAAAATAATTAAATGTTGATATATGCCACAACATGCAAAAGCCCTGAAAATATTATGCTAAGTGAAATAAACCAGATCACACAAACTTATTTTACTTAATTCTATTTATACGAAATGTTCAGAATAGGCAAATGTACAGAAGAAAGATTAGCTCTTGGAGTGGCTAAGAGAGTAAGGAAAGGTACAGTTTCTTCTGCTTCTCTTCCTTCTGTGGTACTGGAGATTAATCCTCCCGTCTTTCTTTACTCATATTGAGTGCACCAAGTCGTATGCCAGTATTCTTTTTCCTCTTCCTTCTTCCCTCTTCTTCCTCATTCTTGTCCCCCTCCTGTTCTTCCCACCCTTTGTCTTCCTCCCTCCATTCTTTCTTCTTTAAGACTGCTCTGGCCTCAAACTCACTATTTAGTCAAAGATGGCCTTGAACATTCAATCATTATGCTTACACATCCTAAGTGCTGGGAGAACAGATGTGAGCTACCGTACCCAGTTTGTGCTGTGCTGAGAGATCAGACCCAGGACTTTAGCATGCTAACCCCAGTCTATCAACTGATCTACATTCCTAGTCTCCTTGCCATCTTTTACGTGTGTGTGTGTGTGTGTGTGTGTGTGTGTGTGTGTGTGTGTGTGAGAGAGAGAGAGAGAGAGAGAGAGAGAGAGAGAGAGAAGGGGGGCACACACGCACGTGTATTTTAGAAGCAGAGTCTTTCTATGTACCCCTGATGACTAGGTACTCACTATGAAGTCCCAACTAGCCTAGAACTTGCAACAATCTTCCTGTTTCAGCCTCCTGAGTGTGAGGTTATAGCCATGTGCCACCATGACAGCCACTTTTTATTTTAAGACAAATAAATTCCCAGAATTTGAACTTTCAATCCTCCTGTCTCAGTCTTCTGGGGTTACAGACCTGCACCACCAGGTAAAGTAATACAGCTTCTTTGTGAAGTAACCAGATGGGTCCAAAATTAGGCTGCAGTGATGGTTATGCTGGTCTTGAATATACTAAAACCACCTAACTGCATCAGTTCTCTCCCTCTGCCAGGGACCACGGATTGATCTCAGGCCCATACCTGCTGAGCCATCTCACTGATCCAAGAATGCATTTCAATGTAAATTCCTTCAGTCTGTCCTAAAACTGTGATTCACTACAGTAAACTGCATTCCCTATTTCTTCAGGAAATTCTGACATTGCTGACTCAGAATCCATACCTAGAAAAACACGATGCTAAAAGGCATATACGCCCAGCAGCCTACCTAACAAAAGGGTGAAAAGAGGAACAAGTTAGCAAATAGTGCTTACAATGGGCCATGGACAATTAGTGTCCTAAATTATACGTACTATTATAGCTGATGTTGTGTTCCCATTATCACATGAGGAAACTGAGGCAAAAAAGGCTTAGTAACTTACCCAAAGCCAGTGGGGGGTGACACAACCAGGATGTTTATGGAAGCTCTAATTATTGCGGCTAGTTGCTCTAGCTGAGAAAAATGAGAGGAATTTGGCTTGGGTTGACCTGAGGTAGGTTGGGTTGTTTATAGCTGTAGCTGAAGAGAAAGGGTATTTAACAGAAAGGAAGTTGTCAACAAGATGATTCCTTGTAGGTGGGATTTTCTGTCCCATCAGCCTGCTCCCAAAATAATGAAACAGACTTATTATTAATTTTAAATGCTTAACCAATAGCTTAGGCTTGTTACTAACTAGCTCTTCAACTAAAATTAATTTCTTAGCTATGCTTTACCACATGGTATACCTGGTTTCAGCATGGCATGTTCATCTCCTGCTTCCTCTGCGTCTGGCTGCTGACACCACTCTCCTTCATCCCTGTGTTCTCTTTTAGTCCACAAGCCCTACCTAACCTTGACCCGCCTAGCTATTGACCATTTAGCCCTTTATTAAACCAATGAGAACAGTAAATGTTAACAGTATACGAAAAGATTGTTCCACAGCATTCCCCCTTTTTAGTCTACTTAAAAAAGGGAGGTTTGGGGGTTTTTTTTGTTTTTTTTTTTATTTATTTATTTTCCGAGACAGGGTTTCTCCTTAGCTTTTGGTTCCTGTCCTGGAACTAACTCTTGTAGACCAGGCTGGTCTTGAACTCACAGAGATCCACCTGCCTCTGCCTCCCGAGTGCTGGGATTAAAGGCGTTAAAGGCGTGCGCCACCACCGCCCTGCAAAAAAGGAAGGTTTTAAACTTTAACATAGTAATATTATATACAACAAAACAGTTACCAAGTAAGACTAATAGTCACAGTATCCAATCCATTTGTATTTGGCAAATTTGGAGAAAATACTCTATTATCTACCTTATCTTTTTTTTTTTTTTTTTTTTTTTTTTTTTGGTATTTTCGAGACAGGGTTTCTCTGTAGCTTTGGAGCCCGTCCTGGAACTAGCTCTTGTAGACCAGGCTGGTCTCGAACTCACAGAGATCCGCCTGCCTCTGCCTCCGGAGTGCTGGGATTAAAGGCGTGCGCCACCACCGCCCGGCTTATCTACCTTATCTTTGTGAGCTTAAAGTTTAATGCCTACTTTACTTTTTATCATAACTAAGGAAAACTATAGTCTAAGTATTTAGACTTTAACTCCATCAAAGATCAAAAGGATGTAATATTACCTAACAAAAGGGATCTCTGGCTACCTGGAAAGTTACCCAAAGTTCTCCTGCAACATGGAGGCATCCATCTTTTGCCTAGAGGCCTACTATAGCTGACAGACATTTCCGAGGAGCAGAGAATTTTGAAGAACTGTCCTATCTTGTCTTGGCAAAGTTTGGCACTTTCTTTTGCATTCTACTGGTCCAGGTTAGATAGCATACTGTCAGCAGTCAAAGCAAGGGAAGGTTTTTTGCCCAAATAGCCAGCTTTTGCCATAAAGAAAGCAAACTCCATATGGAGATTTTTCAATGCCCATCATATTCTTTTGAAGTAAATTGATGCTCTCAGGAGCAGACATGACTCACTGTCATAAAAATCCTTAGGTTATTAAACATCTTAAATGCCATGTTCTATAGGTCTATTTAAGTATATCCATTTAACCATGAAACATACCTAATAGGACTATAAGTTTGATTATTACAGATGACTATTAACCTGTATTTCTTAATTATACATATTTAAATGAGCTGCATAAACACAATACCTTAAATAAGAGTAGAAACATATATATAGTATAACAAAAATTAAATTTGTACCAGTAAGTCAAAATCCATACAAATGTGTTTTGAGATTAATAATTCCCTTTTAGATTAGATTCAATAATCTATTCTTTTTTCATAATTTCTATATTATATCCCTTTTTCCTTCAGAAAGAGATCCTTGAATCTAACTCTTTTTTTAGCTTTTTTTTTTCAGACCATGATCAATAACAACTTGTAACCAACCTTCCTTAAATGATGACACACATTCGAAACCCATTTTTGGGAATGTAGGCATTGTTTTCTCTAGACTGTGTCTTGTTGTCTTCGGGTGCTGGCATCTTTGGAGGACCCTGAGGAAATCAGGATTATTGTCCAGTCCTGGCTGGAGTAGTCTCTGAGGGTATATTATCTCAGTCAGAAGCCTTGAAGTTGTTTTGGATGCAGAACTCAGAGGAAACTGCAATAGGGGTGTTCGGAGATGCTGGATCATCTGGGCCATTAGTTTTTATTGGTGTCTGGTCCCCTTGCTCTGAAGATACACAAATTTTTATTATTTTTATTTTATGTGCATTGGTGTTTTGCCTGCATGTATATCTGTGTGAGGGTATCAGAACCTCTGGAACTGGAGTGACAGACAGTTACAGGCATGCTGTACTGAGAAAGATACCAAGCCACATGGCAAAATGTAGATAAAAATGTAGGTTAATTGAAAATGTAAGAGTTAGCTAGTAACAAGCCTGAGCTATTAGCCAAACATTTGTGATTAATATTAAACCTCTGGATGGTTACTTGGGAGTAGTGGTTTGCAGTACAGAAACTTCCACCTACAAGAAACCTTATTTTTCCAACTGCCTGATAAACAGCCACCATTATGAAGGAGAGAATAACCAGTTAGTAGAGGATGTTCATGACATTCCAACCACTGACAATTTTATTAGGAAAATAAGACCAAGACACAAATGAGGTCTAAAATCCACATATTACACGTGTACTCTACCCTTGGAAAGCAACAGTGCCTAGTCAGAAGTTTCAGAAAGGTAAACCAAAATTTACGTGAACACATCAGATTTGAAGACCACTTTGCTAATAGCAAAAGAAACTTTGACCAATTGGCAATCCCTGCTCACAAGTAGCACATGTCTGTAATCCCAGCTTTTGGGATGTGGAGGCAGAAGGACCATGAATTTAATGCTATCCTGGACTATACATATAGAACCTGTCTCAAAACAACAATAGAAAGTTAACAACTCCTTGAATTTATGTAGAGAAATCAACCCAAACATAGACTTTTCAGATACACCTGAATGAAAAAGAAAGAACTCAAAAAATCATCAAAAGAAACATTAATAACAAGCTATTGTCTCAGGTACTCTGGAGGCTGAGGCAGGAGGATTGCTAGAGGCAATAGATGGATTTTTCTTTGGGCCATCCGCTCACAAAAAGCAACTTGGAGACTTATTATTATGAAAACTGGTCCTATAGCTTAGGCTTGTCCCATTAGCTCTTATAACAAACTAAATAATTTATATTAATATAGTTGCTAGGATTCAGGAATTATGCTGGCCCCTGTCACCTGGTAGGACGCACCCTCCCAGGTGGTACCCCCGCCAACCCAGAGTCCTATGGCTGCTACATCACTACCCATGTATGCAGGTGCAAAAGGTCCCTTTAAGAGATGAGCTCTGCCTAATCCTGCTTTCTTTTCCTGCCGCTCTTCTGAAGAGGCAGGCTGCTCCTTGCCTCTTCTCTCTCTCTGTATTTCTCTTTCCCTTTTTCCTCCCCTTTACCCTTCTCTCAATAAACTCCTCACCTAAGCTCTGCCTGCATGATGTTTGTCTCCCACTGTGAGGCCTCTCGAGTCATTTTACAATAGTGCTTTACAATGTGTTTTAATAAATAAAGCTTACCTGAAGATCAGAATGCAAAACAGCCACATTAGTCAGCCATACAGGCCAGGCAGTGGTGGCACACACCTTTTTTGTTGTTTTGTTTTGTTTTTTTTGAGACAGGGTTTCTCTGTGTAGCTTTGGAACCTGTCCTGGCACTAGCTCTATAGACCAGGCTACCCTTAAATTCACAGAGATCCACCTGCCTCTGCCTCCCGAGTACTGGGATTAAAGGTGTGCACCACCACCACCCCACGTGGTGGCACACACCTTTAATCCCAGCAGCCACACTAGTTAGCTATAGAGGCCAGGCAGTGGTGGTGCACACCACCTTTAATTCCAGCACTAGAGAGGAACAAAGAATGGGAGGAGACACCTCTCACACTTAGGCTCATCCCATTTGTGGAAGTAGGGTCACCCATTTCGATTGAGGCGAAGATCAGTGGCTGGCCTCTTTGCTTTTCTGATCTTCATGTTGAACCCCAATATCTGTCTCTGGGTTTTTATTATTTATGCTACATATTAATCTACGTTTTGCCTTGTAACGTTTTACCTCTCTTCCGTCTTGCACCTCCTGCTTCCCCTCTGTGTCCTCTGGCATCTCTCTCCTTGTGCCTAGATTCATCTCCTCTCTTCTCTGTGACCTAAAGTCCCGCCTAACCTCTTCCTGCCTAGCGATCGTCTATTCAGCTCTTGATGAAATCAGCCAGGAGGCACCTTGGCAAAGACACATCTTCACAGTGTACACAAAGATTATTCCGCAACAAGAGGCCAGGTTGTATAACACGAAGTCAAGCAAATCCGTGACAGAAGTTAAGGTTGCTATGAAGGAAACCTTGGCTTAACCTAGAGTGACCATGACTTTTTACCAGGAAGCAATGAACTATAGTAACTTAAAAATAAACAGTACAAACAACAACAAAAGTGGGGGAGGGCACCCGTGGGAAGTAGCACAGTGTGGGAAGACAATGAAAGGGGTCCTGGAGAGTAAATGAAGATAAAGGACCCCACCTAGTGCTGTGTCTGGATTGGGAAACTAGAGCCCAGAGAGGGGCACACAGCAAATCAGTAGTGGCCCTAGGCCCAGACATCAGGGTGTCATCATCAGCTTCCTGTGGTAACAGCCTCCTGTTCCCGGGCCAGGGTCTCACCATCGGCCTCCTGTTCCCGGGCCAGGGTCTCACCATCAACCTCCTGTTTGCTAGAATGCACACAACTAGTTCCCTCCTCAACCCTCCACCCAAAGGTTGTAAGCCCCTCTGCCACCCCCACCAAAAAAGGAGGACCTGGACCTGCAGGCTTACGTAATTCCTCAAGACAGATTACAGAGACCCGGTGTCCACAGTGCTGCCAATTTCCTTCCTACATTGCCCACACATGCCACAGTTACAAAAGCCATCCTGTTAGGAAAACAATACTAAGACATCACTAGGGGTAACCCAAAGCTGTAGCTTTGCTCCTCTACCCTCAGTCTCCTCTACTGGAACCTCTGTTCCTCCCCTAACTCCCCACTCCAGTTTTGTCTTCCTAGCAGCACCCTGATTTTCTCAGCCCTCATTCTTAAATGATTTAAACTAATAAATACATGCTAAGCCCCTATCATCATATCATCGTGACTGGCTGAGGGGTGAGCATGGGACTCACATCAGGCTATTTGGAGCCAGCAAAGCTCAATTCTGAGATGTTGGATGAGCCATTTGGGAACATAGATTTGCTCTTTTCCTTTGGGTTTGAGTTTAGAAGGCACCCAGGAGCAGCTGTCAACCTCTCTCATCAAGCTCACCTATACATGTAAGTTAAGGCCAAAGCCTGAATGGTTCTCCTAGGTTCCAGTGAGGCGTCTGCGATCTGTACAGCTTGTGATTTGCACAGACAGCGAGAACAAGCCAATTGCCTGTGATCCTAACCTACACACAAAAAAAGGATGACTCTGAAGCACGGAGTTAAACAATTGTGTTGTGAGTTAGGGGTGGGTACTCTGTGAGTAGGAACCAATTCCACAGGGCAACTAAGTTACACATCTCAGTTGCATCCTAAAAGAGGATGGGCAGATAACGCTGTTGTCTGGGCTGGAGAGATAACTCAGCAGTTAAGAGCACTTTCTACTCTTCCAGAGGACCAGACTTTGGTTCCCAGCACCTGTCAGGCAGCTCACAACTTCAACTCCAACTCCAGGGGATTTAATACCCTTTTCTATTCTTCCTCAGGCACCTGAACTCATATGCACAGATACACAGACAGACAGACAGACACACATGCGCGCGCGCACACAAACACACACAGACACACACACAAACACACACACACACACACTCACCCACACTTAAAAAAAAAGAAAACCCTCTGCTTCAACAGATCCTGGGAAGCCACAGAATGGTCTCCTATCGGGCTCCCAGGGGAGACCAAAGGCCCTGGGGAGAAGGCTTTTCCTGTCTGACAAGCCTCCCCATGTTCTGGGACAGTCACAAGGCATTCTGCCAAGAGCCGGATGAACTAGTCAAGCCGTGGTCCTTCAAATTTTCCAGATTTATCTGGGGTTTTAGTTCCTACTCCTAATTTTTCTTAAGTCCAAATGCCTGTTACCAGCCCAAGCTGACTGTCAAGGGGGCAGTTGTATGCTGTTGTCTGTCTGTCAAGGGGTCAGTTGTATGTTCAAAAGAATGTTTTGTTTTTGTTTCCAGCATTTCCGTGTGTTGTGCAGCAAGGAGTTCCAGCTATTGTCAGCAGAGGAAGTCCAGCTCAACACTGAGTAAACTCCATCGTCACTGTCTGTTTACTTTTCCTCCACGAGTATCAAGCTTGGAGGGCAGGGACCGAGCTGACTCATCTCTGGGGACACCAGCCCAAGACCTGGGAGAGAGTAAACATTGATACTGAACTTCCACTTAGATACCTCTAGTGACCGGGGAGGTCACAGTCAATGAGGGACAGCCTGCTCCTCACCCATGGCATCCTTTCCTGCTCAAGTGTCCTCCCCTCCCTGGTTTTGCAGAGGGGACAGAAGTCAAGTAACTCAGAAGGAAGTGCACAAGCTGGGTCTGGATGTAAACCACAGACACTCACACATCATTGGCTGAAGTCTAAAATGGCATGGTTGCCGGGTGGTGGTGGTGCACGCCTTTAATCCCAGCACGTGGGAGGCAGAGGCAGGCGGATCTTTGTGAGTTCAAGACCAGCCTGGTCTACAAGAGCTAGTTCCAGGACAGGCTCCAAAAACCACAGAGAAACCCTGTCTTGAAAAACCAAAAAAATAAAAAATAAAATAAAATGGCATGGTTACATTTTAAATGTGCAGCTGGGCAGTGGTGGCACATGCCTTTAAGCCCCAAACTTGGGAGGCAGAGGCAAGCAGATCTCTGATTTGAGGCCAGCCTGGTCTACAAAGCAAGTTCCAGGTCAGCCAGTGCTACACAAAGAAACCCTGTCTTGAAACACAAAACAAAATGAAAAAACTAAAAATAGTTGAAAGGTGCATATCAATCAATCTTATATATTTGAAGAAGTATCTCTGAATTACAGTGTTTTTTAATAAACTATTGGAAGCAACCTTCCTTTCCATTGAGAACTCTCCAGTACTTTCATATGACTGGATATTACGTGTGTGCGACATTAAATGAAGCTGTTCTGCATACTAATGATGAACAGTCTTCAAGACAGAGAGCAATGTGAGCAAAGAGGGTGGAGAGCAACTTCTCTGTTTGTATGAAAAAGAAACATGCATGGGAACCTAGGGATATGACTCAGTTGGTAGAGTGCCTGCCTAGAACGCAGGAAACTCTACCCTGGGTTGGATAAAATGAGTCCGAAGTGAGAGGCCTCTAATCTCAGCTCTCAAGAAGGGGAAACAAGAACAGAAGGGCAAGGTCATCCTTGCTACAGTGACGGAAGTCAGGGCTGCAGAGATGGTGTGCTGAGTAAGAGTATTTACTGCTCTTGTGCTTCCACAATTGCCTGTTGAAGTCAGAGACTTTTTTGTTGGGGCCATCAGCTCCCTAATAATGACACAGAGACTTATTATCCAAGCTTGGCTGATAGCTTTGACTTGTTTCCAACTAGTTCTTATAATTTAAATTAACCCACATCCTGCCATGCGACTCCTGGCTGTTACCTCTCCTCCTGCACATCCTGCTTGCTTCCTCTGTGTCTGGCTGGCAACTTCACCTTCTCCTTCTCTCTTTTCTTCTTCCTCTTCCTCTTTTTTTCTCCTTTTTTCCCCTCCTCATCCTCCCCTCTTCCTACTCCTCCTCCTTCTTCTGGATCTCTCTGCCCTCAAAATCCTGCCTAGCTAGCTATTGGCAGTTCATCTTTTTATTAAATCAATCTGAGTGACACATCTTCACAGTGTTATTCCACAGCAGCCTGTGACTTCAGCTCCAGGGGAATCCAGCATCTTCTACTGATCTTGTGACCTTCACTGATGTGCAAAGACACACACACATACATCATTAAAAATAACATTTAAAAATGTTAAAAATATTAAAAATAGTGGGCTGGAGAGATGGCTCAGTGGTTAAGAGCACTGGCTGCTCTTCCAGAGGTCCTGAGTTAAATTCCCAGCAACCACATGGTGGCTCACAACCATCTGTAATGAGATCTGGCGCCCTCTTCTGACGTGGAGGCATACATGGAGGCAGAATGTTGTATACATAATAAATAAACCTTAAAAAAATGTTAAAAATATTTAAAAAGCAAAAATGTGACCTTGAATCTTCTTGGACACATTAAAAATATATTTATACTTTAAAATTTTACATTTATACTTTAAAATTTTATATGGTATATATTTTTAAGTTGTCACACTGTTTAAGATCTATTTTGATTAATACAAACTTCAGTTGGCAACAGAGTGAAGCCAACTCTCCTTCACAAGAAGGACTCAGGCTTCACTTGGTTGCCGCTGCCTTCCCAAGGACACTGAGCTTAGGAGTAGGCACCTGGGCTACAGGACATCATTCCCAGTGGTTTCTCCCATCACCTCTCACTCACTTGGCTTCCTGTCACCACTGGGCTGGGGACCAGAGACAATTGATTATGAGGGCTGTATTTCCAGAGGTCCCATCAATAGAAGGTGGAGGAGAGCCAGCTCAGGAAAAAGGCGACACTTGGTCTGATGTCTGTTCTTCCAGGCACTCTTTTCTTGGCTCCACCTCCAATGGCTGTTTCTCTCTGAGTCCATTCAGTGGTGACATCTGAAAACCCCACTGGACTAGATGTAAACGGAGGGAGTCAGGATGCCGCTCTGTCACCTGGTACTGCAGGAGGCATCTGAAAGGGGCAATGGCTTACTAAGGACGATACGACAACACTGGACTTTCTGCTACCAGAGAAGATGGTCCTAAGAGCAAAAAAGACTGCTTTTATCCTAAGGTCAGACTAATACGCAGTGATGCATAGTGCTTAAGATTGAACTAGATGGGGGAGAGCCGCACCCCACGCAGTCTGTACTCAGCAGCTGCCTGACCCTAGACAAACCTTTGTCTCAGTTTCCCAATTTGTAAGGCAGAGATAAGAAAAGTAGCTTCTGTGTAGGGCTATTGTGAAGCTATACTGGAATATTACATCAAGCATGTTTGTGTGGGTGAATGTACTCTCTGCCAGTGTACATACCTTTGTTCTATTCTAGAATTTCATACAAATGCATTTGTACAATATGTC